GTAATTTGACTTATGATGTGGAGTCGGTGGCCATTTTAGACCGGCAGGTTCGAAAGTTGAGATAACAAAAACATAACTTCGATGAAAGTGCAGTGGAGAGGCCAGCCAGTCGGAGAAGCTACTTGGGAGACTGAGCAGGAGATGCAAAGTAAATATCCACATCTATTTGAGACTCCGAGTATAATTCTAAACCCGTTCGAGGACGAACGTTTATTTAAGTGGGGGAGAATGTAACACCCCAAAAAAATTTCGAAGTGTTTTAAGACTATTAAGAAGATTGGCAGGTACTAATTATATTAATTCGGGTATGAACAAAACTGATAATTTAAATGATATCAATTGATCATAATAATATATGTATTAGGTGAATTAAGAATGGTTTATGGTCTAAGAAGAGCCCTAAGGTTAAGTCAAGTTGAAAATTATATGATGGAATCAAATTTCAAGTGAGTTTGTATAAGACCTAATTTCAAATGAGCATAACTATCTAGATATGAATATTTATATGGAGTACAACCTATCACAAGAAAGGTCTATGTGTCTAGTTTCTAATGCTTCAAAGAGTTTGTCATTTGGAGATTCCTACAATAAGTTATGACCTATTTACTAAAGGGTGGCAGAACAGCTACGCGAGTCTTGCGTAGCCTACGCAGCGTAGCCTACGCACCATTGCGTAGGCAAATCCAGCAGCTTCCAACTGAAGGGGGATAAAAGTTCACCCTGCATAGCCTTTGTGCGTAGCCTACGCAGGGAGGCTACGCGGGTTTAGGGGCCATTCTAAAGGGGCTGAAACAAGGGGTTTAGAGAGAGAAAATATTAGTTCTTCAACTTGGAATTGATTTCTATAGAGAAGATGGAGCTCTTCCACCATGGATACACTTCAAGATAAGTTGTTTTGGCACAAGGATGATTATATCATTTAATGATAACACTAACATTATTATGGATCAAATCTATAGAAAATTGGTTGAATCTTCAAGAACACCAAAAAGAGGAAAAGTGAGATTCTTTCACCAAGAGGTAATCCCTTCACTTGAGCTTCATATATATGTCATATTGGAGTATGGGTAGCATGTTTATGAGCTTTATTTGAAGTTATAATGGGATATTGTATGAACCCTAAGGGTGAGTCTTGAGAATGCCATTTTTGGGTAAAGATGGGTGATTGGGAGTATGATTCTTGGGTGTAAGAGTATTATTTATACATACACGTACCAATAAGGTTTGTGGAAAGATTATTGAGTTCAAATGGGTAAATATTGGGTTGAAAATGGTAGAAATCTTCAAAGACTTTAATTGAACATTTGAGGGTCGAGTTGATGTCGGAATTTGGTGAAATTTATATGGTTGGACTCGTGATTGGATGAGCGTTCATAGTTTATAATTTTTGTCGGGTTCCGAGGCGTGATTTTGAGTGCAATTTTGAATTTTATTGGAAAATTAGTTTTTCATATGGAATTAATTCCTATAATTTGAATTGACTGAATCGAATTATTTGTGGCTAGATTCGAGGCGTTTGGAGGTCGATTCGCGAGGCAAAGGCATTGCAAAATAAAGAATTAGACGGTTTGAGGTAAGTAACATTTTTAAATTTGGTTCTGGGGGTATGAAACCCCGGATTATGTGTTATAGGATCGGTTTTGAGGTGACGCACATGCTAGGTATCGGGCGTGTAGGCGTGCACCGTAGGAATTGTGACTTGGTCAAATTCCATGGAACTGTGTAGTTGAATAACATGTTGTTATCTGTACATTCTCCATGTAGTAGAGAAATTGAACTACAAATCATGTTTAGATTATGTGTTGGTACTGTAGGGACCCACAAAGGTTGTATACATGTTGAACTATCTGCTAAATTATTATTTTGTACTCAGTCACAGTTTACTTGTTTATTTTATCTCAGTCTCTATTGTCCATTATTGATGCATCATATCATTGTTGTTTGGGCTGATTTTCATGATTATTGAGAGCCCGAGAGACTGGAGAGAATTATGACTAAGTGAGGCCGAGGGCATGATTGTGAGATATTATACTATAGCATGTGAGTTATCCGTGCAGCACGTGAGTTGTCCGTGCGGATCCATATATTATACTATAGCATATGAGTTATCTGTGCAGCACGTGAGTTATCCGTGCGGATCCAGATATTGATACTATAGCACGTAAGTTGTCCGTGCAGCACGTGAGTTGTCCGTTCAACACGTGAGTTTTCCGCGCAGATTATTAGCTTTTGGGCTGTAGGAGCCCCTCCGGAGTCTGTACACACCCCCAGTAAGCGCAGGTACCTACTGAGTGCGAGTGATGAGTGATTGGAATGGCTAAGTGACTGTGGTCCTGAAAGGATGCATTTGATTTCATTACTGTTGCACTCCAACTGTCATATATCACTGTTTTGGAAATTTCTGAGAGATATTATCTTATGTTTCAGTTGAACTTGACATGAAATTACTGTTTTGGCCTTAAATGTTGAACTTGAAAGCATGCCTACCTTATTATGTTGGAAATTACTGTAATTGGACTCAGCTGTGAAGTTCATCACTACTTTTAGTTCTTTATTTAGTATTGTTACTTACTGAGTTGTTGTACTCATACTACACCATGCGCCTCGTGTGCAGATCCAAGTACTTCTGGACACGGCGGTTGTTAGTTCTCGGAGTTTTATCTATTGGAGTTTATCGAGGTAGCTGCTTGGCGTCTGCATGTCTTGACTTTCTCTTTCCTTTCAATTTTGTACTGTTCTATATTTTCAAACAATATTTTTAGCAAGCAGACTTTGTTGTCATTTAGATGCCCATGTACTCAGTGACACCGGATTTTGAAAATGTATTTTATGTCAGTGATTTGTGAGATTTTCTATGAAATTCAAATATTATGTTTTTAAATTTAAAAGAAATTATGGTTTATTGATGTTGTTGGCTTACCTAGTATTGAGATAGGTGCATCACGACAGGTGTGATTTTTGGGTCGTAACAATAACATACCCGGTGTGATCGCACAAGTGGAGGCTTGGGGAGGGTAGCATGCACGCAAACCTTGTAAAGATAGAGAGGTTATTTCCGATAAACCCTCGGCTCAAGAAACACAAGTAAAGAGAAAAATCCATATATAAAAAAAACAGTAACCACAACCAGAAAATGAGATAATCGAAGTAAATAAATGACAGATAATATTAGACATCTAAGAGTAGAAATATGAAATACATCAGTGCTACAAGTATAAGAAATTAATACGGGTTTAAAGAAAACTAACGTTAGAATACTCACTAACCTACTACCGTAATCCTCGACCTCCACTCCCTCCCATCGAGGATCTTGTCCTCGGCAAACAGAAGATGTGTCATATCCTGCCTAATCAGCTGTCCCCAATACTTCTTCAACCTACCTCTACCTCTTCTTAGCTCCGCCGTAGCCAACCTCTCACACCTCCTCACAGAAATATCTGTACATCTCATTTTTACATGCCCGAACCATCTCAGCCTCGCTTCTCGCATCTTGTCCACCACACCACTCCCACATTATCCCCAATATCTTTATTCTGAATCATGTATCTCTTAGTATGTTCACGCATCCATCTCAGCATTTTCATTTTCGCTACTTTCATCTTCTGCATATAAGAGGTCTTAACTGGCCAACACTCCGCCACATACAACTTTCCAATTGGTAGGTCATGTTTCTTAAAAAAATAAAGTACATGTTTATGAGTAGCGATAGAAACAACTTTTTTTTTCGTTACTCGAAGAAACTAAAAAATAGCAATCTCTAAGCCTTGCTAAAGAAAAAAGAAGTTTGTAGCTTTCATTAGTAGTAAAAATAAAAAAAGATTTGATTTTTTAAACAAAGTGCCTTACATAGAAATTATTTGTATTTATCAAATTATCGCACCTTAATTTTTACATAAGTATATATTTCATTCTCTAAGTTCTTACCAAACTGTTCTTTTTAATATAACTTTTACATTTTAGTTAGATAATAAAGTCTCTTATAATAAATATTTAGAATAATATATATATTTAAATAACAATAATAATAATAATCTTAGAGTCATGTCATATTTTCATGGTTGATCTGGCTAAATACAAACCACAACTCTTCACATTGTCTTTTGAAACTATATTTAAAAAGATCATCAAAAAGAACAAAAATAAAAGAATTTGATCAAACGGTCACGCAACAAGTTATCTTTCCATATTTTATTCAGCCATATTTTCCATATACATTATGTTTTTCATATATAACCAATCAAAAGTTGGAGACCAGACACGTCGACCCTAGGGTTTGCAAATGTAGGCTGAACGTGCGTCCACAACTAAAAGGTTCCGGGACCGCCCACCGTCCAGTAATCATCCACAAAGCACCGCCCCTCGCCTATGGATTTAGATTTTCATCGATCGTGATTTTCACGCGCATCTCTTGGCGAGTACGATTCATTATTTCCTAAATGGCCAATTTATACGATGAGCTGGATTGGTCCACGCACTCATTTAGATGCCAATACCAATGGCTATTTAGTAAATCTACGTAAATTCAAGGGCTAAATATTACCAATATTTGTCTCCTACCATAATAATTTCGTCCCCTATGAGTGATTTGATATTTGTACGCATATACGATAAACAGCAGCGAGGGAAAAGAAGTTACCCAAAGGATATTTGTGTTATGTCTGAGAGGGATCTTTCTTCTTTATACTGATATTTTTATATTATACAGATCTCTCTCTTTTTCTCTCTCCTTTCCGATTCCTCGCATCAGCCATGGGTATCTGGGAAGCTTTTCTCAATTGGCTTCGAAGGTATATTTCCTTTTTCTTAATTTATTTTTGTATAATGAATTTTGCGAAGTATAATTGGTACAAACTACAAATAATAAAGCTAAATAGGATCCTTATAATCTATCAACATTAATTTGAGATTCAGGCTTAGTTGATATGTCGTTGTTGACTTATGGCTTTGAGAATAAATAAATAAATGGGTATTATTGTTAAAAGTATATGAATTTATTCTTTGGTTACGATCTGTCTTCCTTTTGTTTGTATCTTTTTTCGTATTTGGGTGTGTTATCTGTTGAACGGTTGATTAATGACTCTGGTCCTGAGACCTCATATTCGTTTTGTTTGAGATTTCTGGAATTTGGAAAAGGAGGATATTATTTTCTGCATCTTTTTGTTTTGTTTTGTTTTGTTTGCTTAAGCCTTAATGAGTATAATAGTAATCATAATATTCCTATATATCATAGAAGTTTATATCACTGATTTCATCTCGTGGAAAAGAAATTGGAGTGGGAGATCAATGGCAGCAAACATTCAGTCTGTTTATCAGATATGGGCATAACATGGTTTTGGATTTTGAAGCTATCTGTCTATGAGATGTTGAACTGTCTATAAAAAGATGTTCTTTTTTCTCAATTCTATCCTTAGAGTTGTCTTATCTGAGCCTCTTCATCCAGTCCTGAAAGAGTTACTCTTGAGGTTACTAAACCTGTCTATTGTGCTTCACTACTACTCCTCCCACCAAGGCATGGAAACGAACACTAAAGATTTATTTTTTAAACAGTGCAAGGAGATTTTCTAGTTTGAAACGACAAGAAATCTGTTCTGTCCTTCGGTACAAGTGAGCGTTTTAGGATAAATCTGGTAGTTTTCATTCACATGTCATATTGGCCTGTTGAAAATTTGTATATCTTTTGCTACTATAAGAAGGGATTTCATATCTTCTCTTCCAAGGTTCCCGTGCCAGCTGAAATCATGTTTCTCTGTCCTTAGATGGTCTCTTATATTTAGCTCTCTTTGTTCTTGACAAGGTTTTGAGAATTTAATCCTTTTGTCATTGTATCCTTTTGGTTTATTTACTTTTCAGATTTGGCTGAACCATTTCCCTTCTTCTCTTATTTGAATTTTCCATCCTTGAAATTCTTACAGCTTTTGATCTTTCTACATTTTTTGCAAATTGATTAGTGTCTTCCTTGGGAGTCATTGCTCTATACAGATTCTTTGCCTGGTCAGTGATGACTACCTCTTATCAGAAAATAATAAAGTATATATGCTAATCCGAGAGGAGGTCTATTACCTAATTATGTTGTTGGAAACGCTTTTCATATTCTTAAAAGGACTAGATACTGAATGGTGAAACAATTTGTAAAGTAAATGTCTTTTGAGAAAGGTAACAACAACAATTTGTAAAGTAAATTTTCAGTGCCCTTTTTGCTTTTGTTTGTTCGGCAGTTCATACTTCCCCTTGAGCTTCCATCATATGCAAATATTTCTCCTGAGCTTCAACTGGGGTTGTTCGGGAAATGAATGGACCGGAAACTAAAATCTGATAGTTGCCCATCCGTTTCAGTCTTGTGTTATCCCACCATGCTGTGTACTTTAGACATTGTAGGTGCTATTAGTATAAGGTCTTTCAATTGTGTTGTGTCTTCGTTAATTCTGAGTTTGGAACTTGATTGTTGAAACATATTGCTATCTTCTTTCTGAGGTGGACTTAAAAGTATAATACATATAGGAATTTCGATATTATAAATGCACTTGTGCTAATCATTATGTTTCCTTTGGCTCTTATGAAATGATTCCTCATGTCAAAACTTGCTTGTTCCTTCAGCCTCTTTTTTAAGCAGGAAATGGAGCTTTCATTGATAGGATTACAAAATGCGGGAAAAACATCTCTTGTAAATGTTATTGCTGTAAGTAAATTACTACTTAACATTCTAGTGCCAGCTCATCATTATGGTTTCACTTACTTTTGCTTCCACATAACCAATGGAATCTGATATCTTAATGGGTTTGTTCCTCCCTTCTCATTCGTAGACTGGTGGATACAGTGAAGACATGATACCAACAGTAAGTTTTCATCCTAAAGCATCTCATACTAGTTTTTAGTTTTTAGCCAGTTCTGCTAAATACTTCAAAGTGATTTTTCATAATTATACGATTGTTTTTTTTTTGTTTGTATTCAGGTGGGATTTAACATGCGCAAAGTGACTAAAGGAAATGTGACAATAAAATTGTGGGACCTTGGAGGTCAACCCAGATTCCGCAGCATGTGGGAGAGATACTGTCGCGCAGTTTCTGCTATAGTGTATGCATCTGCCTTCCAGCTTATTTGAATAACTTTAACAGATAGATCTAGATGAATCCATTTATACACTCAGTTATCACCTTTGCTTTTATTAGTAGGCTCACTTCTTTGTTAGCTATCCTGAGTGCTTTACGAGTTTGTGTAGTATAATAGTACTATTGAAGTATTAGAAGACAACACATGGTAAATGGTGTGTCTTCTTATGAATTGAGATGAATTTCATTTTTCTTCATGGTTTATAAATGAACAGTTTATGGAAGCTCATGGTTTACCTGATAAAATTATCCGATCTGGCGCTTGACAGATCTATGTTTTTATGCCTTGGATAGGTGGAATTCCTTGATCTTGACTGTCTCCATGTATTATAAAGGGGTGATGCTAAATAATGTACTTCCTCAGAGTTTTAGCAAATTTCAACGCATTCAAGTGTATTTACGCATATATGAATTTTTATATTATAGCCTATGAGTTATTTTGTTTCTGAATTCTTTAAATGCCCTTCCCTGCAGTTATGTTGTTGATGCCGCTGATCCTGATAACCTCAGCATTTCAAGTAGTGAACTCCATGACCTGCTGAGCAAGCCATCGCTGAGTGGTATTCCATTGCTTGTATTGGGGAACAAGATTGACAAGCCTGGTGCCCAGTCCAAGCAGGCTTTGACCGACCAGATGTAAGTGCAGAAAAGTACATGCAGAGTGATTGGTGGCCTTTTACGGCCTTAGTGTACATTATGGTTGGTTTGTGAGGGAGGGAAAAGTTTAATCTTTCAGTTCAGATCCATAAAAATGGAAAGGAAGCAAAAGAGATTTCACATGGTTTAGAAAAAGCTTTTGGTGGGGGATGCAAATGCCTCTGCATGTCCTCCTCTTCATATCTAGTTGCAAAGAAAGATGGGATCTTAACCTTATCCCTCCTTCTACCCAACCCCAATCACATAGCTTTAACTCTCTCTATATGGAGTTATCTTAAAGAATATTATGCTGTTTTGCAGGGGATTGAAATCAATAACTGATAGAGAAGTGTGCTGCTATATGATCTCGTGCAAGAATTCCACCAATATTGACTCAGTCATTGATTGGCTTGTTAAGCACTCGAAATCAAAGAGCTAAGGATGACACACTTTTTTGTAGTACTGATTTGTATGTTAACTTGTGAGGCTATTGGTTTTTTCTGCTGGTTTCTCCAGAGTTCTCCTTGTATGTATATTAAATTATCTTGTCAATTGAAAGAGTTGTTGCATGTTTTTTTTTGTTTTTCTTTTTGTGATTTTCTGGGTCAGCTCTCTCTATTGCGTGCCTTTCCTCTTTTATAGTGTTTGCGAATTTGTGTGAAAGGGGACCTTTGATTTATTAGAAGAAAGAAACCTGAAGGATCATCACTTTTCTGTTATGTCGGAGCCCCAATTATTGATGCCAAATTATGTGTATTCTTTGATTATGTGAGCTTCAAACGATGATCTCTGGCAAATTCTCTTAACCTTGGAATGATGGGGACTTGTATTGCGTTGGTGAAGGGGGCAGTACAAGACTAAAATGCTTTTTTGTTTAGTATTATTTATCCTTCCAAAGTTTACTATTGTAAGAACATGATGCAAGTATTTTAATAACAAAAATACGTGATTTATAGTCAACATTATTATTTCTATATGTTGAGACGTAAATTGGTAAGTTTTAATATAAAAAGTTAAGAAATAATTTATTTGTAAAAGTAATGTGAGTCTAGTGCAACAGGAAATGTTCCAAAAACTGGTATTTGATTGTCAGATTTTTTTAAGAAAAAAAAAAATTCTACAATACGAGTAGAAAATAAATTTTCTTTTCAACTATCTCAACTCTTCATTTCATCTTACTGCTCAAATTAGAAATTTTGGAAGATAGATGCATCCCAAGCCATAGAGCGTCCCTGGTGAATCAAGATGGCAAGCATAAAGTCAAAAGAGTTGGACAAAATGATGAGGCAAGCGGCAAGGGAAATGGAGTCTGTCTAGAAAAGGCAGAATTATGACTTGTGGCAATTATGGAGAGGCAAACCACAATGCAGGGGATATAAAAAAGTATAGACCCAAAAATTCTGTTATTTATGAACATGTTATTATATTTCATTGTTATTAACTTTTTTTATTTACATTAAACAGCCATTGACTGGGCAGAAAGTGACAAAGAAGAAGCAGCCGTCAAATGATGGGCAGACATATAGGACTAAGAAATCAGCCAAAAGATAAAGGACTTTGCTTGATCAAGACACTGATGATGATGATGATGAAGTGTTGGAGTCACAACTAGAAAGTGAAGATATCACTTTATCAGCACCCAAGTGTCTCAAACAAGTCAAGACTTTATGCCTACTCTAACTCTGGATCATTTTGATGCAAGATCAAGAAGGCTAAGAATTCAAGAAATTCAAGAAGCCAAGAATCCATTCAATATTAGGATTTCTTTTCCTTAAAAATTAAAATTTCTTATTTCTTATTTCTTATTTCTTATTTCATAGTAATTTAATTCTTGTTTTAGTAGGATTATATATGTAGTTCTAGTCAAACTAGGATTGTTAGTTGGTATCCCATTCTTACTAGAATTTTTTTTCCTATTTTAGTTAGGATATGTTTTCTTAGCCTTATTCTTATTCTAGTTTAATTAGGATTAGTTTTCCTTAACCTTATTAAGTTTACTCATTGTAAAGCCTATTTAAATGGCTCAATATGCTGAAAATAAAGAGGGTGATTAGTTTTTCTAAATTTTTGCTTCAAAAACGTGATTTACATTTTATTTTTTTATTCTTCCTTTATTCAATGCTTCTTGCAATCTTGCGGGATTGAAGAACGTGTGGGTGAGGTTTCTTTCCATCTTATATTCTTCTAACATGAGTTTGAAGAACGCTTTCGCTAGTTTTGTGAAAAAATTTAGCGGGGTGCTTTTGTTTTCTCTCTTCTTTGTACTTGAGATGTGCAAAACCTTGAAAGTACATCACATTTTTCAGATTTTGATCATGGTCTTGAACCTCCATTAAGGCCTAGTATTATATCAGAATCACATACTAGACTTATGGAAAGGCAGTGAACCTATTGATCTTCCATACTCCCTATTAAACTTGACATGGAAGGTAAATGCTGCAATCACTGGGAATCAACTGGAGATGCAAACAAAACAAAGAATCAGGAAGTTGAAGAAAAGAAAGAGGCCTTGATAATTTGATTAGGACTTGTTTTGTTTTGTTAGTTGGTAGCATCTTACATGTGCTAAAGTGAATTTGAAACACTTGGTTTATGTTTTATTTTTCTGGTGTTGGCATTTGGAGTTGGATGTCTTGTTATGACTAAGGTTGTGTGAGTTTTTGAAGTTATAGCTTGGCATCCACTTCTCCAATTTGATGTAATTGTCAAACTTATGACTTGCTAAATTATTTAGTTAGTTTGCCTAATTTCAGGGGTTTTCAATGCTTTGAATTGCTGCAACTTCAGTTACTGCATTTTATTACTGCCTGTTATGACTTAGGTTGTTCTAATTTGTTGCCCAGTTATTTGTTTGCCAGTTATATTATTGCATGTTCGAATTTATTGCCCAATTATTTTGTTGCCCAGTTATATTACTACCTGTTCGAATTTATTGCCCAGTTCGAATTGATTCCGATTGTTAACATTTGGTTTGTGGTACTCGATCAAGTAACATGAAACAACATATACAAACAGTCATCAGAAAATAATTGGCAATAAACATTCACTTAACAATGTCATTACAATCAAAATCCAACCATTAAACATACAAGACTAACTACCAATATTTACTGAAAACAAAAGATACAACATTCACTTCTATAGAATATTTCAGCATAATTTCACCTCATTATAGAGGAGAATGTAAATCCAATTATTAGCGAGCATAAAATTATGATGATCATTTCAACTTCACCACTTTGTCTTCCAATTCCATAGTTTTTTTAACTTCAAAATTCTTCATAGCCTCTATGAGTTCAATCTTTTCAGTCAGTCCGTTTCTTTCAACCTTAAGAACTTCCAAAGAAACATTCAACATCTTAATCTCGTGATTTGCAGCTTTTAATCTTACATTATTAACTGCAATTAACGCAGCATCAGGAAACTCTTCATCATGCCATTCCCAAAACCCACATCCTTCATTCTACACGAACCACAACAAAATAAATTCAAATTATGAACACTATAAAGTTAGAAATTTTAACAGAAATCAAAATAGAGAAATAAAAAGTACCTCAGGTTTAGGACATTTATAAAATCTTCTACCGGGGTTTAAGAGAATTTTTGAAGTAAAGTGATTTGCAACTTCCCCACAATGATAGATCCTCTTCGATGAACATCTATTTTTCGACATCGTAAAGTAGTTTTTGACCAGCTGAATAGTTAACAAGGGAACGAAAAAGAAACCCTAGTATTAGTCTTAGATCGGAAGTTTTGTCACTGACGGTAACCCTAGATGGAACCCATCCCGTTCTTTTTTCCTTTCTCAATTTTTGATCTTTTGTTTATGTGTTTTTACGGTGGGTTTTTAGTATTTTAGTAACTTAGTTGGTCGGGCGGGGCATGGGATATGGGCGGTTGATTTTATTTAATTAAATGGATAGGCTTGCTCCCATCCTTAATAGCCCTTACCGTCCAACAAAGTAGTATATTTATCCCTATTTTAACAGTTGGGACACATGACATACTCTAAAAGTATAACGGGGGACAATATTGAACAATATATCAAAGTAGAGGGGCATATCATGCTCTTTTCCGTTATTAATGTCAACTTAAATATTATTATCTTGAGTGAATTTGTCAACCCCTTCTACTATTTCAAACCCATCATCACCATTGAAATCAACCTCAATGGAATGAGCTATCTTCAGATAGTCATTATAAAGCTTCATTCTTTGAGGACTGTAGTCTGTCTTCCATGTTCTCACCTCATCTTCATGTTTTCTCAGCTGATTCATTACTTTGAGTCTTATAACTTCCAACATCTTGATAATGGGCTTGTATCTAGCTTCTAATATCCAAAAATTGAAAGACTCTGTAAAATTATTAACCACACCTTGATTCTTACAGACAGTATTAAAGTATGCCCTACACCAACTCTGTGGTGGGTACTTTAACAAGTCAGTAACAACTGCTTCCTTCAATTGTCTCATCTTGCTCAACTGATCCTTGAAGTCTTTTGCATAAGTGGCCCAAGAACTTACCAAAGTAACTTCTTCATTTCAAGCCCTCTGTAATATTTGCACCAGTTTGACTCTACATGTCTCACACAGAACTTAGGCTTTGCTTCAGGAAGGACTGTCTTTATTGTCTCCATTAATCCCTCCACATACTAACAGATTAGTAATGATAAAACTATAAATGTGATCTGAAATTATACAAGATGTAAATAATACCTTCTGCATGTCCGACATAAATGTGACTTCACTACCCATATTCAAGTCCAATGAATTGTGAAGAAGCTCCAGAAACCAAGTCCAACTTCTTTTTATTTCTCTATCAACTAATGTCCAAGCAAGAGGATAAAAGTGATTCATATTGTCTTACCCAACAATAACTAATAGTTGTCCTTTAGCCTCCCCTTTAAGAATATACCATCCAGCTCAATAAATGGTCTTAAGCCCTTTTTATACCCCATCTTCAATGCATGAAAATAAATGTACATCCTAAGGAATTTCCTTTTTCATTGCAATAACCCTTTAGATAAATTAATAACCACATCACTTCCAAGATTATTGTCCCTCAAATCATTGGCATATGCTTCAAGCTTGTTATAATCATCAGTGAAACTCCCTTCCAACTTCTCCAATATCATTCTCTTTGCCCTTTTAACCTTTGATTTACTAGCATTAAGTTGAAATGAATTCTTCAGGTCTGGCCTCATTTCTTTCACCTTATACTTAGGATTGTCTTGCAACTTCTTCTTGAAGTAGTATGCTATAGTGTTATATCCAACTCTACTGTTATAAAAAATATGATTACAGTCATGTTTTGGGTTTAGTGTCGTCACTCTACAGCCCGCACTGCCATTGTCCCTGGATATAAGACATTTAAATGGGCAGCCATCTACACACTTATACCTCGCCCTACTTTTGTCACTTTTCAACAACTATAACTTCTTTTGATTAACCAATGCATAAAGGTTCATGAACTTTCTAGCTTCAGGAATATCCTTAAAAAACATGCATTTGTGAATCTCTTTGTATTCATTAAGGTTTTCAGTAGGATGTTTTTTTTCCTTGTGCCTCAAATTGTTCTAACTCTTCAAAGTCATAGGCCAAGCCATCAGAACCTGCTTCATCTTCATCTTCATTTTCACTACTACTATCATCAGTACCAACTAACAGTGGAGATATATAAGCCTCAGTATGATTGACAATGTTTGAGACACAAACACTTTCTTCACACTCATCTACAGCATAGACATTTAGTACCTTAAATTCCTCACAGACAAGGCATAAAAGGTGCATAATCCCTATATCTCCTCCTTCATAATACTTACCAGATGGGCCAGCAATTACTAATTGTACCCCTATATACCCTAACTCAAGAATGTATTCATCTACTATATTTTTAAAAGATAATAGGTCAGAATCTTTATCTTTTCAAATGTGGACCAACTTCTTTGAATAGACTAGGTGTGACTCTGTTATGCAGTCACCCCCATAATTAAAAACTAGGTCCACAAGAACCATCTACAAACATAAATGAGACAATGTAAACACTTTATGACCATATAGTAATACTTTATACAAAATGGATTCCACTTGATAAAGAAATCAAAAATCAAACAATAAAGAATGGGAAGAAAACACTGATAGTTACTCTTCAATAAAGAATGCAGAACATTACAATGAAATATTCTCAACTACCACTATCCAATGTACTTGATCACATGCATAAGGGGGTTTTGGACCTCATTCATTCATACACGGCCAAAACCACACAGCTCAAAGCAATAACTTCATTATTTAAAAAATAAAATCACACCTCTGTTGTAGCCCTTACCAACAAACTAAACATATAAAATACCACAAAACAAAAGCCCTAATAATCCATCAGAAATAAAGGGACCACCTCAAAAGATGCATATGCACGATAAAATAACAACAAATCGACAAATAACATAGGTGTATGAAGCATGTATAAGAACAAACATATGCACATTTACCCGAACATAAAAAATTCTAGCTCGAAACATTATGTAGAAACGCACATTCTTCAACAAAATTAGCAGAAACACAACTAGACTAAGCTGAATCAAAAAATTTTGAAGAAAGAACTCACCTTTTTGAATGTGTCGAGTCTTAGATCGAACGTTTTGTCACTGTCGGAAATTCTTTTTTCCTTTCTCAATTTTTGATCTTTTGTTTATGTGTTTTTACGGTGAGTTTTTAGTATTTTAGTAACTTAGTTGGTCGGGCGGGGCAAGAAAAATGGGGCGGGTTAATTTTATTTAATTAAGTGGATAGGCTTTCTCTTTCAAAGTGTGCCATGTGTCCCAATCGTTAAAATAGGGTTAAATATACTTGTTTGTTGGATGATAAGGGCTATTAGGACGGAAAGTATAACAGGACACGATATTAAACAATATATTAAAGTAGAGGGCCATATCGGCCATATCAGGCCCTTTTCCGCATTAATAATTATCAATTTATTACGAAAAGAAGAAAAGACATGCTCCTCTTGAAAACCAAATAAAACAAATCAAATTCCTGGTAGTCTTATCAGCAAAGAGCGGGGAGTACCAACTCTGTAATTGCCTCAGTTCACTTCCCTTCTCATCCCTCCATCTCCATGGAAGCCTCCACCGGACCTCCACGTTTTCCCTCACCGTCACCGTCAATAAACGTCGACAAGTTAAAGCAAAAGCTTCTGCAAAACGGCGTCGACCCAACTCCCAAAATCATCCACACTCTCCGTAAAAAGCAACTTCAAAAATTCAACCGACGCCTCGCCAAAAAAGCCGCTAAAGAACCCGAGCCACTCACGGAAACCCAAACACAAGCCCTTACCGAAGAATCATATTTCCAGGCCGTTAAGTCTGAGTACAAAAGCTTCAACAAAGAGGTGAATGCCAAAAATGATGTGAAAATGGTGGGAAGGCCTTGGGAGAGAATTGAGAAACTCAAATTGCAAGAGCTTTCTAGTGAGAGTAAGGTGTATTCTGGTGATAAATTGAATTCTGAGCATCTTTGGGAGCTCAGTGATATAATTGAGAGTGAAAGAGATAAATTCTCATGGCTTTTGGATAATGATGTTGAAATTAAACAAGGATGGTTCGATAATGAAAGGGATAACTGGAACTATACACGGCGTCGTAGAGGCGAAGCTGAGACTATTCGGTTTATTATTGACAGGTGCGTGAACCCCAACTAATTTGAAATTGAGTTGTTATTTTTGAAAAACTGATAGGTGGCAATATAGCTGAACCGCAACTAATTTTATTGATCCGTGTGGCAATTTACCTGACGCGGATTAGTTTGGCATTAAGGCATAATTGTTGTTGTTGTAGTACGATTGATAAGTGTATGAATATTGCATGTTTACAGTAGGCTAAAGAGTTGATTTTGAAGCTGAAAATTTTCTCAATTCTTGTTGTAGATTGAGTGGGACGGAACTAGGTGTGAAGGATTATAAGTTTTCTAAGTTGATGAAACACTCGGGATTGCAGTTTACTGAGGAGCAAATGCTGAGGTTAGTGGAAGGGCTTGGTGAAAAGGGACAGTGGAGACACGCATTGTCTGTTGTACACTGGGTTTTCAACTCTAAGGAACACAGACGCTGCAAGAGCAGGTACATATGTTTTATATATGGTTTTGTTTTCAGAGCTACATTGTTGTCAATTGTAAATCTTTCATGTATATATGTTGCTTCTATTTTCGTGAAAAAAGAGAAAACAATGTGTTTGGTTTATCTAGGTTTGTGTACACTAAACTGTTGGCAGTTCTGGGGAAAGCAAGGAGGCCCCGTGAAGCTCTTCAAGTTTTCAATTTGATGAGAGTATATCCTAATTCTTATGTGTCAGCTCCTTCTTCAATATATTCATATGATGTGGTTGGAAGAGTCTAACACTATGTGATGTTAGGGAGATGCCCATATTTACCCTGATATGGCAGCATACCATAGCGTGGCAGTTACACTTGGCCAAGCTGGTCTGCTCAAAGAGTTGATCAACATCATTGACTGCATGAAGCAAAAACCTGAAAAGATAAAGTACATGCGGAAGAAGAACTGGGATCCTGTTCTTCAACCGGATCTTGTGGTATATAATGCTGTAAGTAATTGTTGTCCTTTCTATTTGTCTTTTTTCTTTTCTGATAAATAAGTAGTGATAGTTTTTGTACTTTGGAGGTCCCAATTTTGTTTTTTCTGTTCAATAATCTGCTCATATTGTGACTTCATTGATCTTAACTAAATGGCTGCCAGGTTTTAAATGCTTGTGTACCATCCCGCCAGTGGAGGGGAGTGTTCTGGGCTTTTGAGCAGCTGAGAAAGAATGGTCTTAAGCCAAATGGGCCAAGCTATGGACTCGCGATGGAGGTAGTTCATACTTTTTTCCCCTTTTAGTTTAATAAAGTTGACTTTGTATTACTCACAGAGTATAGCACTAAGAAAGTGCTACGAGTTACAAAAATAATTAGGCTTTACGCCTTCAAAATGAAAAGAATTATTTATAATATCTGGAGGTGATCCATACTTTTGATACCAGTTCGGAACAATCGATATTACAGTGATTGTTTGTTTATTCTCTTGCTTCACAATGAGCATTTGCATGTCTTGCTGACACAGTGAACTGCATATAGATTTTAGACTAGCATCATCAAACAACCATTCAGTAAGGGTTCAAGTAGTTGGTAATTGCAACGTGTTATTTACCATCTAATGCTTGTTATTTATCTCCAAATAGTTATAGTAGCATTGTAAGTATGACAAGTGGTGCTGCACTTTTATTGAAAGGTAATGTTGCAATCTGGAAGANTATATATATATATATGTATGAGGTTCGAGTCGGTAAACGCTCCAACATAAAACACTAACTATATGGTTATAGTGCATTTTATAAAAAAAATGTCTTAAGCATATACTCTCTTAAGTCAAATTCTACACTTATTTCACCACTCATTGAGGATTAACTGAAATTCTCTCTGGTTAATCTGATATGGATAGATTTGTCTTTATTTTAAAATTTTAAAATAAATTAGGGTGGATATACAGTGACAATATGAAACATGCTACAGGATGTGTTGCCAGGTTAAAAAATATGAAATAGTATAAGAAAAACTTAAATCAAAGACTTACTGTTGCTTCACTCTTTCAAGCAATACGATATAATCAGTTAAAAAACAAGAGGAATATTTTTTTTAATTAGTATTAATATTTAAGAAGTAAAAAATGTAAACATCCTAAAAAAAGAGGGGAAAAAAACTGGGTTTTGGAAGAATTTTAAAGTGGAGAAAATCTCTTTAATAATACTTCAAAGTATCAAAGTACTCCTTGACTAGCCAATTCGTTATTCGTCAACATAAAAACGACACCGTTGTTCACTTCAGTCCTCCTTTCACCTTCTTCCCACTTCTCTTCCATTACTAAAACCCTAACACAAGTCTCTGCAATTGCTGGAAATGGCATCTCTAGTTTCGAAAACCTCAGTAACAAGGGGACTCATTTCTCGGATCCGTGCCCCATCAATAGCTCACACTCTATGCACCGCTACAGAAACCCGAACCCAGAAGCTGGAGCGGATCGCCGACCAACTTCTAGACCTGAACAAGCTCGAAAAACATGACTACGCCATTCTCTTCCGGCACAAAATGGGTCTTAATCGATATGGGCCTGCTGTTTCGGGTTTAGGTTCTTCTGGGCCTTCCTCTGGGCCAGCGGCTGCTGAAGCAAAGGTTGAAAAAAAAACCATCTTTGATGTAAAGCTCGAAAAGTTTGATGCAGCGGCTAAGATTAAGGTGATTAAGGAAATTAGGGCTTTTACTGATTTGGGCTTAAAGGAAGCTAAGGAGTTAGTGGAAAAAGCGCCAGCTGTGGTGAAAAAAGGAGTAACCAAAGATGAAGCTAATGCCATTATTGAAAAGCTCAAGGCAATTGGTGCTACAGCGGAATTAGAATGAAAATTTTCAATTTTGCCTTCATTTGTTATATTTTACATTGTCATTTTAATGGGAATGGAAATGGAAATTGTGATCCATTTTTTGATGAATTTTGGTTGCATAATTGCTAGGGATTTTACTTACAGTAATTTGCTGATACTCGTTTTTATGTGTCCCTTTTGCTGTTTATAGTTCCTGGCTTACTACTTCAATAAACTCGTGTTAGCTCATTTTCCTATGTGCCGTAGAGTTGGTTGAAATTGTACTAACTTGCAAGATCCATTTTTTGCTCCCTTGTTACATGGATTCATTTACAAATGGCGTACCAGAGGTGAGAATGTGTAAGTATCCGATCTGGGTACATATAGCTTTTTTCTTAATTTGTAGTGTATTTTAGAAAGTCCATGCAAAGTGCCCACATGCATGTCATACCTATACATACGGATGCATCAAAGCAATTATAGTGGTGTATGGTTTATCTTCCACTGACTTGTTTTGAAAATTGTACATTAATCATATGTTCCTGGTTTAATTGCTTATTTTAGTTCATTTGTGATTCGCTATAGAGTTTGTTGAAATAGTAATAACTTGCTGAGATTATGGATGTTTACTGTTCTATGATTGCAAGATACACTTCCTCTCTGCTCTTGTATTGGTTTAAGTTTAATGCCACTGGTTTGTTTTCGGGAGTTATAAGGTGATCATTTATTCTGTATGGCATGCTTTCCTTGGGATCATAATTGCAACTGCAGATGAATACCCGAATTTGAAGTGAACAGCCTTGATATTATATGACCTTCCATATTATCTGAGGATTTCTCAATTGCTAGCATATTGTTGAAATCTTAGAATGCTAAAGATGATTGACTTTCTTATAGATCAGCACACCAAACAAATCCCATCAACTCTTCTCAAACTTGCGTGCGACTTTAGTTGTCAACCTGCAACTTGCTCCTTATGATAAGTATTCATCTGGTAGCCATCACTGTATGCCTCTCTCCATATTGAATGTTGGATACTCTTGATAATCACTTAACATATCATTCTTGTTTGATTATTGCTTATCTGAAGCTAAGCTGATTGGCCCTGCATATGTCTCGGATATCCTAGTTCAATTGTAGCCATTTTCTTTTGCATTCCCAATCTGTCAATGTATGTGTTTTCATGTAAAGGATTATTCTCACTAGAATGATATGATAAATAACAAACTCTTATCCATTGTAACAAGGGGACTCATTTCTCGGATCCGTGCCCCATCAATAGCTCACACTCTATGCACCGCTACAGAAACCCGAACCCAGAAGCTGGAGCGGATCGCCGACCAACTTCTGGACCTGAACAAGCTCGAAAAACATGACTACGCCATTCTCTTCCGGCACAAAATGGGTCTTAATCGATATGGGCCTGCTGTTTCGGGCTTAGGTTCTTCTGGACCTTCCTCTGGGCCAGCGGCTGCTGAAGCAAAGGCTGAAGAGAAAACCATCTTTGATGTAAAGCTCGAAAAGTTTGATGCAGCGGCTAAGATTAAGGTGATTTAAGGAAATTAGGGCTTTTACTGATTTGGGCTTAAAGGAAGCTAAGGAGTTAGTGGAAAAAGCGCCAGCTGTGGTGAAAAAAGGAGTAACCAAAGATGAAGCTAATGCCATTATTGAAAAGCTCAAGGCAATTGGTGCTACAGCGGTATTAGAATGAAAATTTTCAATTTTGCCTTCATTTGTTATATTGTACATTGTCATTTTAATGGAAATGGAAATTGTGATCCATTTTTTGATGAATTTTGGTTGCATAATTGCTAGGGATTTTACTAACAGTAATTTGCTGATACTCGTTTTTATGTGTCCCTTTTGCTGTTTATAGTTCCTGGCTTACTACTTCAATAAACTCGTGTTAGCTCATTTTGCTATGTGCCATAGAGTTGGTTGAAATTGTAATAACTTATACGATCCATTTCTGCTCCCTTGTTACATGGATTTTACAAATGGCTTACGAAAGTGAGAATGTGTAAGTATCTGATCTGGGTACATTTAGCGTTTTTCTTAGTTTGTAGTGTATTTTTAAAATCCATTCGAAGTACCCACATTTATGTCATACCTATAGATATGGGTGTATCAAAGCAATTTTAGTGGTGTAGGGTTATCCGCTGGTTTGTTTTGGAAGTTGTACTTTCATCATATATTCATGGTTTACCTCGTGATCAATCGCTTATTTTGTTTATTCGTGATCTGCTATAGAGTTTGTTGAAATTGTAATAACTTGCTGAGATTGTGGATTTTACTGTTCTCTGATTGCAAGATTCACTTTCTCTCTGCTCTTGTATTGGTTTAAGTTTAACGCCACCGGTTTGTTTTAGGGAGTTATCCAGTGATCATTTATTCTGCATAGCATGCTTCCCTTGGGATCATAATTGCAACTGCAGATGAATACCTGAATTTGAAGTGAACAGCCTTGATATATGACCTTCCATATTATCTTAGGATTCCTCAATTGCTAGCGTATTGTTGAAATCTTAGAAAGTGAGAGATGATTGGCTTTCTTATAGATCAGCACACCAAACAAATACCATCAACTCTTCTCAAACTTGCATGCGACTTTAGTTGTCAACCTGCAACTGGCTCCTTATGATAAGTCTTCATCTGGTGGCCATCACTGTACGCCTTTTTCAATATTGAATGTTGGATACTCTTGATAATCACTTAACATATCATTCTTGTTTGATTATTGCTTATCTGAGGCTAAGCTGATTGGCCCTGCATATGTCTCGGATATCCTAGTTCAATTGTAGCCATTTTCTTTTGCATTCCCAATCTGTCAATGTATGTGTTTTCATGTAAAGGATTATTCTCACTAGAATGATATGATAAATTACAAACTCTTATCCCTTTTATTAGGACAAGTTGCTTCTTTGAATGTAAACTCTTTGGGATCTACATTCTAATATTTTCAGCATCTTTTGCGCAGTAGTTTTTTCATGACCTTTAGTTTAGCTCAGGTCTGTGTTTGTCATCTATGAACAATGTGACTGAGATATCACTGGTTTCTAATCAAAGTAAATTCCAATCCATTTCTTAGTTTTTGGTATAAGTATTTTATTTCATGGGCAGATTAAAAACAGTTGCATAGTAATCAAAATCATATGTCCCTTTTAGAAGTGGACTTTTGCTTGCGCTTGGTGTAGAATTGAAAACAGGAACTTAGCAGAGCAAGTACACGAGGTTTCGGGAGATTCAGGGTCCTTGACTCCCTGATAATACAGCAGCAAGTTTTAGGACATAATTTCTGAGTTTAAATCTTCATCTTCGCACTTGGTTTAGCCATCTCGCATTTTAATTTTTGATTTATTTGTTGGACGCAATAAGAATGTCGCTTGATTTTCATTTCACATCAGCTCTTCGGGAAAGGAGATAGAAAATATGCGTATTATGTTCATATCTCGCATACACAAATTATTTTTTCCCTTACCAATAGATGCGGGAAAACTGGCTAATTGACGCGTTTAGTTATACTAGAAAAGCTCGCTGGGTAGCAATCCCTCATTGCTATTAGTTCAGATCCAACGAATGCCGGAAATTGGTTTCACATTCGAATGATATTAATGCACGATAATTTGGTGGAGATTAATCGATTGATGTGCAAGTGCTGCTGATAGCAGAATCATTTACCATCACAAAATTAAAATGAATCAGTAACTCGTGTGGTTTATATCCACATAATCAAAACTATAATTTTATATACTCATAGCATCACCAAAAATTTCATGGGGTTCCATGGCAAGTCAACTAGCTGTCTGTACAGTTTGCACCCAAACACACTACAAAAGAGGGTATATGTACAAAAATAAAAGCACCAACTTCTAGTGCTCTCTTGCCAATGACCCCAATGACATTCAATATCACCTGCCAATGGACACAATTATCCATATTTACAAATCTATTCACATATCTACAGTGACATTTAAGCTGGATAGATGTACACCCTAGCTGTTGCAATCCAGATCCATCTGCATAAGCAAAAAAAAGTAATTGTAAAGAGGCGATAAGAATTCAAAATCTTATATGCAACCAAAGGATTAGGTTGCGAGCAAAATGATATAGTGAAATATAAACAAACTTATGATATACTAGTTAGTATTAAATGAAAAACAAAAAGGATAGATTGTGAGACCACTGAAGGTGAGAGATAACAGTAGGCCACCTAATTCTTTACTTCATAGGCAACGTGATCAACCCCCTGCCCCTCGCCCCACACCAAAAAAAAAATAAAAAAAAATAAGGTACTATGCAGGTAAATCTCTCTTGGCAACAGAGCGAGTAACTAATAATTGAGTTACATTAAAAGGCAAAAGGTTGACTTCATACTTGAAATGGAATACAGATTAGAGATCCAAAAGAAATTTGAATATACAAGACCTCTTCCTTCATAGGACCGAAGCAAGTCCACTTTTGTTACTCCATCCATCATGTCTTATAGATTAGCAAATCCAAACTGGAACTACAATTAAGCTTACCACACACGGACAGTTCGAGGATTCAATGCCTTCAATGCTGCTTCAGCAAAGCACTGTGCCGCTTCTGCCTCTGCTTCAGCCTTCTCCGCATCTCTAGCTGCCCTTTCTGCCTCAGCAGTAGCAGCTTCTGCCTCTGCAACTGCTTGTGTAGCAGCTGCAGCAGCCTCCTCCGCACTCATGCTCATCATTTGAGCTAACTCTGCATCAATTTGTGCTTTAGTAAGTATTCCAACTCCATTGTTTTCAAGCTTTGGGGAATCCTTCTGCTTCCCCTCCAGAAGCAATGGGAAATCGTTGCCCCTGGCATCAGATGATACTCTACCTGGTGAAATCCTGTACTGATGCTTCGCCTATCAATAAGAATACAAGCATTAATATCCAAAATTAACAATTAACAGAGCTTACCCATTATGGGGCTATCAATTCACTGCTTGTCTGAACTCTAATCTTCTATAGAGACGCACAAATAAAAGGAAAAATGCGCAAAAGCTCTCAGTTTCAGAAAGATAAATGCATTTACATAATAAATTTTCACAACTGTTACTTAAATCAAAGAATTTTACTCAGCAACCATGCTGAGCAACCTATTTCTGAACTGTTCAACAAAAGGGACTTCATAATTCAGTGGAGGGTTCATAACAGAAAGAGAATGGTACCACAAACGAAACAAATTGATGCAACCAAAGGATAATAAACTCCCAGTTACCCTACCTCTCAGTGTTTCCGTCACTGAAACAGCTTGGCATGATGTTGCAGTGAAGATCAAGCTTAAGACCGAGAACAGACATGATACTATAGTCTTGACATAAAATAATATCACTTCCTCTAGTTAAGTTAGCAGTTTCCCATCTTCTTCATGACTCCACAGATTTCACACTAACCATTAACAATTAAATGTCTTGCGACAGTGGAATTCAACTAACTTATTAAATCTTTTGGGCCATGATTATCTCCTGACACCTACACCAACTCCATTCCCAACAGGGATAGAAGGACAAAAGTGGAACATTGATACAAAAAAAAAAACACCAAAAGCAACACTTAAATATAATGCAAGTTATACATAGGTCCTCTGAGATTACTAGATGACAATCCTCTCAAAATAATCACATAACTATTATCTTAGAATTATCCTCCTAATCACGAATTAGCAATTAGTGATTTCAAAGCTATATCAAGATGGAATAGCCTATAAGCCCCTGTTGATGTACAACAGCCAATGCACCTGACCTGAAGGCCAAAAGAGGAGATTTTCATCACTTTCATTACCTTTATCAGTCTTCCGTTTTCAACCAACGCCTTCAAATTTGCAACTAACAGCTTTTCAAAGTCTGGAGGTGCCACGAAGTGTTCCTTTAAGCAAAGAAAGATATGAAGTTACTGACACCTAAAAGTGTAAAGAATGCAGTAGCATTCACAAAATCCATACCCTTGTTGAAATGTCATGAAAGTCCAAAGTAATTGAGAGCAAAAGTAAAAAGTTAATTAAGGCTCTTCAATTTTAGGCAAACGAGCAACTTCCGACAACTTTCTATTTCTTCTTTCCCTTTGGAAAAGGTAAATCCATCTAACTTAAAAAATAAAGCATAAAGCCAATGCTCACATATGGGTGTAAGTGAATTAATTGGAAATTGGGTTAAGATGAAAAAACGAAAATTAAGAACCCCAACAACCATTTGGCAAGCTCATTATCCACCAAGTTGGATTGTATATCCATGTCAGCAGATGCAGAGGCAGTCATATTTAATGGATTAACTGAACCCAGTATCTTCAACATAGAATATATAATCCAGTAAATATGACTGCATCCACCTCTGTTGACATGGATGCACAACCCAACTTGGTGGATAATGAGCTTGCCAATTGGTTGGCGGTCTTAGTTTCCCTTTTATCATCTTAACCCAATTTTTGATTAATTAGCGTACACCCATATGTGAGCGTTAGTTTTATGCTTTATGTGTGTGTGTGTTTGCACGCGCGAGAGAAGAGAGGTAAAATTATAGAAATGTTAAATTCCGAACCCATAATAAAGTAAAATGTATTTGGTGCTAAGAACCTTAAAGGTTGAACCCATCAAATTTAAATCATGAATCCTCACATATGACATATCATTCATAGCACTCCATTCCACTTTCTATACCAATCTTTCTTCCCACCACAATGGGGTACCTGGACTACCCCATAATTTACAAATCTTCATTCATTAAAGGTTTGTTTGATGAAACAACATTAAGCCTAGCCAAGGGGAGAAGCTATGTTGCAATGAAGATGAATGCGCGATCGATATGGGTATGTTCAACTTCTGTAGGTATTTAGTATTTTATCGAGATCCATACAAAGTATCAACTATGATGTCATGCTCGTTGACACTAGTGTATTGGCAAATAAAAGATTAGGCAAGATTAGAGAAAAGGAGACCTTTTCGTTTGTACATTTGTCAAAGTTCTTGCCTTCTTGGAAAAATTAAAGGGTGTTTTGCTCCATTTTAGGTGTTTAAGGTGGATCTAGTTCAAAAGGAAAAAGGTGGACGATTGTTGGGAAAATGCTCAATTAGGCAGAATTAAAAGCACACAAGTATTTCCCAGCAGATTGATAAAATAGTTTAAGGCGTACCAATAGAGACAACATTAATACAAATGCCTTAAAATAGTATTTAACAAGATTTATAAATTTTTCAAATCATTGAACTCTCTCCACTGAACCTTATCCTATATTTGCACATTATGTGGTAAAAGAATGGAAGCAATACCTCGAGGTACGAAGAAATTGTTGTTCGACTAGACCCGCGTGGTTCCTTCAATCCAGCTATCACCTCTAATATAAGATCATCCAATCTACAATAAAAAAAACATGCCCCAGACAGGTCCATTCAAATTGCAATCTAAGCGCAGATACCTATTGCATTGCATGAAAAAACTCATCTAAAAGATTAAATCATTAGAGTGGGGTTACTTTCATTTTTTTATTTTATATCTACATCACACCCCTCATGTGCGAATCTGATTCTTTTTCATAGGTCAAGCACATGAAAATAATATGTTAGATTTGTTGCAATCACCCCTCAAGTATGAACTAATTCTTTTATTAGGTCAAGCACAAAATATTTTCTTGTGCATGATGGTAGACGCCGAATCAAGACTCTAATACTATGTGAAATTGTGAGAAATGCCTTATCTAAAAGTTAAAATGCTAAAGGTGGGACACTTTCAGCATTTATTTTAGGTGTGTGACAATACTGAAGCAGTAGTTTATTCTCAGAAGGTAGAAAACAAAGAGTAAAACACTACTACTAAATTATGACTTCATATGTTGATTGGACTTAGTATGCAAAAATCGATCAGTAAAAGCAACATTGCAGGCTTGGTGATAATATATTTTTCAAGGACAGCGTGATCATTGAGTAGAAGAATAAAATTAGAAGAGGGCATGTAACCAACCTAGATTGAACACCGAACAAGGATATGGAAAAGTAAAAATGGAAAATGGGGTATAACAAAAAGACAAATGCATTATGTAATCGTCAAGCAGTTTCAACATATTAGAACTTTCTTGTTATAAAGACAGACTATTCCCAAGACCTGAGCCATGGTGTTAATGTTACAATGGAGTAACATTATTGTTAACAAAAAGATGCTCACATTTGCATGTAAAATTCAATGGAACTGTTGAGTGTTGAGTTATAATGTTGGGTTACTCCATTTATTGTCTTAAGATTTTGAGTTAAAACTCAAATTCTTTAATATGGTACCAGAGCCAACTTTTGACGAGCCCCATTATCACACTTAACACATGTAAGCCTGCATTAAGCTTCATATGTGAACCCTAAAATTGGGTTACGCGTGAGACAAGATGTTGAGTTATATTGTGGCTTACATCAAGTACAAAAGGACATCCAAAGATTTACAAAGATTTTGGGTTATTTCACCGATGCTTAAAGGTTTTTGAGTTGAATGCTAAGATTCTTCCAAAAAAACAAATGACAAATTAAAAATGATAAAACAAGCTGAAACGTTTGGCCTAGAATCTACAGTAACAACCAGAACCTACTCTTATAATACCAAAACCACTTCCCTTACTTCTGATAAGCTTCCCAAACAGACAGGAGCCCATTTGATCTTCCAAAGGAACGTGAAACAAAATGTATATGAAGATAGATGCCATGCTTTTTCCGAGATAACGGTGTTATATAATGATGTAGATGCATTTAAAAACAATGGTTTGAAATATGAACTTAGTTGCAAAGTGCTCCCGATGAAATAGATGATGAAACTTCAGGAACTAAATGGCTTCCGCATTAAATACCTTACAAGTTAAACATATTACTAACTCATAAAGTACTTTTGGTGAAAGAATGTTAAACTTTACATTCTCCAAAAGCAATGTCTCAAGTTTTATGCCAAGGTGGCTTTAGTAAAAGTTCATCTTAGTGATTTCACTTCCAAAAAAGTATGTGCAATATCTTCTTAAAAGTGATGTCCACATCAAGAAGTCACATAAGAGTTGCTTGAATTTTTCTTGCAACAGCTCTTCAAGCACAATGATGAACTTTAAGACCATTTAGAAGGATCCAAGTTTAGAATATGAAACATTTCAAGGAATGGATAGCATAATAACCTTGAAATCGCCTCCTTAGAACCAACATCCTCCACGTTTTCATAGGATGCTGCAAGAGATTTAGCATCAAGAACTTCTATACCATTCTCAAACACAGTGCTAACATGCAAGGCACTATCAACATGTTTCACTGTTGGCTGAATGCTTTTATACCCAGTCCTCCCTGGCTGCCGAGAACCCCGCCCACTTGCCATAGCATGTAGATTTCTCCATTTATCCTGTCCAATCAAGACCAGGTTCATCAGAGCAACTTTACTTTGAGCATAACTATGGGAAAACCACAAATATTCCAGCCCGAGAAAGTATAAGCTTCCCCAATAGGTAACAAGCAACATAAGTTAACTGTGTTGTCTAATACCTTAATGTCCACATTTGAACGAGAACGCAACACACCAGCAAACTCTGGATCTTTGAGTATGGTGCTCCACTTGCCAACCCCATACTTAGCAACACCCAACTTAAGGGCAGCTTCTTCTTCTGATGTCCACTTCTGCTTTGGTGCACCCATAATAGGTTGATGCCTTTTTGACACCGACGCAGAATTGAGCTTCCCTACCTATAGAGCCATCTCACTTTTCAATAAACAAATATCTGAATGTGGCTAAAGAAAAGTAAATACCCAAGAATAAATGATCAATAAGAACATAAGCAGGACAAACTATAATCTGAAATTATATGACAGAAGATATTCATTTGTTAACTATGTTTCTGTACACGAGCGCATAAGAATATTCAGCAGCTACACGCTGTTCCAAAAAAAAAAAAAAAAAAAAAAAAAAATGTAACACCAGTCTAAAATTTCAGTATACAAGAATAAAAAAGAAAGCAAAAAACTTTGGAGGGCTCATTTCAAGCTTAAAAGGAGTAAAGAGCCCAGGTAATATTTGCATATGGTTGAAAAAATGAATTGAGTCATACCAGAAAGAAAATGTGGTGCAGAATTTTTGACGTGACAGAAATAACTGCGTTAACCCATTGTAATTCGTCGAGACCAGGATAAAAGATTGAATTTGAAACCCTAGACACGAGAATGAATTTGGGACCGCGCCAAATTGCAACCAGCCTTCTCTTTTCTATCTATCGAATTACTTGCCGCGAAATATATCCCCACCAAACAGACGATGGAAAAAGGAAAATGTCATTTTCTTCTCGAAACCTTTTCGGCTACAAAAATACATTTGGGGATGAATTTTTCTATTTTTTACAGCTATTATGATACTCCAGTTAGCGACGAAATATTAAACTGTTTATATATAGTTTTCATGTCACGTAAAATGGCCTTGAAGGATCTACAAAATTTGATATGATAAAATAATTTACCAGTGGAATTAGTTATACTGAGATTAGTTTTGTTAATATTAGTTATACTCGTATTATTCCTTTTTGACTGTTTAATATATTGTATTAATCTTAAGATTGTCAATTTTACTGTTTTATCCAGGAACAATTTATCCTAAGATTATTATTCCACCATCTGCCAGGTATAAACTATTTCAATACTATTTTTAATACTGGAATAACTTATACCAAAATTAGTAATCAAACAAGGGATAAGCCGGTACTAAATTTTTATTCCAAGATTATTTTTACTTATTCATCATACCAAACAACCCCTTAATAGTTCAATTGGTTGGCTACATAAATTTTCACCTTGTTGACCTTAATAATCCCCTCCCCAATTTCTCCTTTCTCGTGCCTCATCTATATCTATCTATATTATTATAAAAGTATAAATATAATATCGATTTACAAAAATAACCTTATAATATTAAGCATAATAACTCATAATAAAAGGACATAACCGGAATTCTAGATATTAGACTTATAATCTTATAAGTTTAGGACATAATACTACACGTTAGGAATCCTACATGATTACCTTTAGGAATCCTATTAGTATAATTACTTCCGGGTTGTCTAATTCATATAAATTGAACAAGTAAATATCCTTAGTCATTTAATCCTATTACTTTTAGAATATACTTCTTAAAATTCCTATTACTAATTTAATTTGAAAAAGTATTATAATGTTCTATTACTAATTTAATTTGAGAATGTATTATATTTTCCAAATCTATTTAGAAAAAGGAGAGCCTATATTATTATAAAAGCATAAATACAATATTAAGATACCAAAATAACCCTAAAATATTAAATGGAAGAACTCATAGGGAAAGGACATAAATGCAATAACCTATTTTTTGGACTACAATACCTTCTATGCTAATTTTTAATATTTAAGATTTTAAAATTAATAAATTTTTGTCTATTAAATTCTTATTAAAAATATGTAGGAAGGTTTAATAAAATAAATTTCATACGAATCCTCCGTATTGGCAATACATTACCACTCCATAATGTCCAATACAAAAAAAAAAGTAATATTAAATGGACTGCATAAAGAGTTAAAATTTAAAAAAAAAATACCCCCACGATAATATATTTTTATATTATATTTAAACTATTTTCCTACTCAAGTAATATTTTTTTATCAATTTTTCATATAATATTAAAAAATACTTAATTATTAAACAACAACTAAGAAAATATTTAAGAATACAAATGTGTGAGAAAGAGAGAGAAAAAAATGGTTGGTAAGAGTCAATACTATTAATGATTCTACAAACATAAAGATCTAAAAGTGAAATGTCATATCAATCTTTTACTCTTTGAAAATAAAATTTATGGTGGATAAAATTATAATTAAGATTAAATATTCAAAATAAGAGATGAACTAATACTAAGATCTGAACAGTTAAAACCAAATACTTAAATCTTTTAATTAATTATTTAGTAAGAGAATCCAATTCAATTATTTTTTAAATTCATCATATGAGTAAAAATTTTATTCAAGTTAAAAAAATATTATAGGGTACATAAATTTATTCCATAAAAAGAGCGTTAGAACACAAAGTAAAAAGGTTAGTATATTATTAAGAATTAAAATGCTATATAAGTGTCTGAGGAAGTACAATCAAAGCTAAATCCTAAACAAGAACAAGCTTTAAAGACAATATTATAAAGAGTCGACTCTGCTATAACATGATTATTCTTTGTAGATGCCTCCGGCGAAATCGAAATAATATTTCTATGTCATGCATTACTTGCAAATATCATATCAAGAGGCATGACACTGTTAGCAATAATATCAAGTGGTGTACCAATAACGATTTTATTGTGAGGCCACCCACTTTAGATTTGATATACCTCTTCAAACAACTTAAATAACCATCACAAATATATCAAAACAGAGCAATGGTGCTAAATTTTATAAGAAAAGCAAAATTGATAATGTGGGATGAAACACTTATGGCTAAGTGTCAAACAATCAAATTAATTGCCCGGAGTTCTAGAGATGTAACGACCCGACTTGTCGTTTTAAGAATTTACGCCCCGTTCAGTGACTTAAGATCTCGAAAAGCTTCGCAATATGTATTATGACCCGCGAGTGTGGTCAAGTTTGATTTACTGAAGATTCGGAATTAAATTAAAAGAACAATCCTTATTTAGAAGCTTAAATGAAAATAGTTGACTGGAGAGTTGACTTTTGAGTAAACGATTCCGGAATGGAATTTTGATGATGTCAATACCTCCGTATAGTGATTTTTAACTTAGGAGTGTGTCCGAAAAATTATTTAGAGGTCCGTAGGGGAAGTAAGCTTGAAATGACGAAAAAATTAAATTTTGGGAAGTTTAACCGGGGGTGACTTTTTGATATCGGGATCGAAATCTTATTCTGAAAATTTGAATTGCTTTGTTATGTCATTTATGACTTGTGTGAAAAATTTGAAGTCATTCCGGATTGATTTGATATGTTTCGGCACAATATATAGAATTTGAAAGTTCAATGTTCATAGATTTTGATTTGAGGTGTGATTCGTTATTTTGATGTTGTTTGATATGATTTGAGGCCTCGAGTAGGTCCGTGTTATGTTATGGAACTTATTGGTATGTTCGAACGGGGTCCCGAGGGCCTCGGGTGAGTTTCGGATGCTTAACGGATCAAATTTGGATTTGGAGGAAGAGCTGAAGCAGTTGGGTTGTTGGTGTGATCGCACCTGCGCGAAAAAGGGCAGCAGGTGCGAGCTCGCGGATGCGAGGAATGATTCGCAGAAGCAAAAATGCATGGGTTGTCCAGGCACCGCGGGTGCGAAAAAAATCATCGCGGGTGCGAAGTAATCATCGCGGGTGCGAAGAAATCACGGCGGGTGCGAAAATCCTGGACAGAATGTTACAAAACAGAGGGGTTCCGAGTTTTGCCATTTTTGGGCCTTCAAGCACGTTTTTGGGGCGCGATTTTGAGAGAGAATTCAAGGGAAACTTGAGGTAAGTCACTTGTGATCATTTCTACTCCATAATATTGAATTATCATCGATTAATCTGACTAGATTACATAATTTTTTAGGTATAATTCGGGGGTTTGAACTTAGGGATTTGAAAATAAGATTTGAAGATTTGGAGGTCGAGTTGAGGTCGGATTTTGGTAAAATTGGTATGGTTAGACTCGTGGTTGAATGGGCTTTTGAATTTTTATAACTTTTTTCGGGTTCCGAGATGTGGGCCCCACGATCGATTTTTGAGCTAATTTCGAATTTTTTGTTGGAAAATTAGTATTTTCTTATGAAATTAATTTCAATAAATTTTATTGACTGAATCGAATTATTTGTGGCTAGATTCGAGGTGTTTGAAGGTTAAATTCAAGCAAGAAAGCTATTATGAAATATTGGCATAACTTCAAAAAGGTAAGTATCTTGCCTAACCTCGAGTGAGGAAATTATCCTTTAGGCATTGAGTCTTATGTGAAAATTATATAATTGAAAATCATGTACTCGAGGTGACGAGTACGTACTTGATTTATATGTGCAAATTATATCGATTGAAATTCGTAGACCCCCTTAAGTATTAAGTTGGAAATTTGTTGTAACTTATTAAATCCCTTATTTGTCATGCCTCATTCTTTATTTGCCGAGATTATTTTTATAGGATAAATTAGTGTTATTATCACTTGACTTTTATGTAAACTTTGTGTTTGTTTGAGTTGCCATTTTTTTTTAATGAAAAATACTTTTATTATTGATTTTACCTACAAATAATTAAAATGGAAAATTTAGTTAATAAGATGAATTACTTTTCAGTTCACGTTATGAAAAATTTAGTATTGAATTATAAAGGCCGTGAATCATATTGAGGCAAAGTGCCAAATTATGAAATATTATTCGGTTGAGTTGTTCACTCCCGAACATTTTGTTAAGATGTTGTGCATATTATGATCGAGTCATGGCTCCTTATTGTGGAAAAATAATATGTTGTTGATTTCTGTGGCAAGTTGTAATATTTGAGCACTTGATGTGCAATTTATGATATGTTATAATAATTGAGCACTTGATGTGCAATTTGTAATATGTTGTAATATTTGAGCACTTGATGTGCAATTTATGATATGTTGTAATATTTGAGCACTTGATGTGCAATTTGTGATATGTTGTAAGATTTGAACACTTGATGTGTAATTTGTGATATGTTGTAAGATTTGATCACTTGATGTGCAATTGTGATATGTTGTAATATTTGGGCACTTGAGGTGCAAGTTGTATTATGCTATGATATTTGGGCACTTGAGGTGCGATTTGTGAAATATTATGATATTGATACGCATGCGGTGAGATAAGGGTGGCTTGAAACACATGGCTAGTAGATGAACTACTAGAAGTCATGCGCGGTGATATAAGGTCAGGGTGTTGAAACGCATGCGGTGAGATAAGAGTGGCTTGAAACGCGTGGCTAGTAGGGAAACTACTAGAAGCCATGCGGTGTGATAAAGATGGCTAAAACGCGGGATGCCATTTCGTGAAAAATAATTTCTTTAAAAATTAAATGCGAAGGCTCCCGCGGTGATATAAGAAAATGAGATATTGTGAATTTATTTATGATTTGGGACTACGAGGAGGTAACTCGGGAGTGCCCTGTTGATATTTCTTTATTTATGTTCCTGTCTTGGTGATTTTGTTTTATTGAATATATAAATTCTTGTCTTCTTCCGTGATGTACTAGTTGACTTTATTATCATGTATTTTGTATTCCCAGTTATATTGTGTTGGCTTTGGCTTTTTAGCACGTGACCCTGAAGAAGTATATTTCTGGGTTTTCTTACTGATTTTTGATGATTGAGTTGATTTAAATAAAAAGGAATTATTATTTTATTTTAA